CCTCCTCCCCCCACACCCCCCCTTACCTGCTTCAGGCTTCCCGCGACTCAAATGTTCGCGGGAAGCAGGGGAGGGGGCGGAGACTTTGGGGAGGGGGCAGGGCTGGGGGCGGGGCTGGGGGCGGGGCTGGGACCCCTTTAAAGTGTCCTCCTTTCGGAGGCACTAAATATGGTAACCCTACTGTAGCCCCAGGGCTAAAGACAAGTCCCTACAGGAGGGGCTGGATAAAGCCAGCTCCTGCCCTGTTATTTCCCGGAGGAAGGGGAGCATTCCACCTTGTAACAGAGAGGCCGTCCCAGCTGCTGACTGCCAGGAAGTTGCAGGTCAGCAGGGGACTGGCCCTGCCCTGGGGTGTACAGAGACATGTACCTCAAAGGTGGAAGTTGGGGTCCTGGTAACCGCTGTGGTGAGAACAGACCCCAGGGACTCTGTGGCTGGAAGCAAGCCCAATCTGAGGGAAAGCTGCCAGGGAAAATCGGCTCAAAGGTAGTCCCAGCACATCAGATGGCAGTTGCCAAGGGGGTTTCTGTGACCCAACCCATCACAAATGGCCCACACTTTGCATAATTACAATAGGAGCTCAGAGCTATATTTCATATTTCTAGTTTCAGATACAAGAATGATACATTTATACAAATAGGATGACCATACTCAGTAGATTATAAGCTTTGTAATGATATCTTACAAGAGACCTTTTGCATGAAGCATATTCCAGTTATATTATATTCACACTTATTAGCATATTTTCATAAAATCTTATGGAGTGCAACATCACACGGACAATTTATGAATTTACCCTGTATAAGCTTTATACAGAGTAAAACACATTTATTTGGGGTTCAGGCTCCTAGAAAGTCTGAACATTGGGCACTGGGAAAGTCTCTGTTAACTGAGAAGCCCCTGGGCTGAGTGAATCTCAGATTCAGTGAACTGCAGGGTGGCGTGGCCCAACCTCTGGGTCTGTGCTGGAGCTGACTGGAGTGTCTAACTCAGCAAGACAGGAGTGGAGGTGTGCCTGTTCTGGCAGGAGGGTTGTTCTCAGTGGTATCCCAGCTCATCGAGTGACACTCTCGAGGGGAGTCTATGTGACCTAACCCGTCACAACAGGCACAGTGAGAAGGATTCTTATGAACTTGCAGTACTCTGGAAACATAGTGCTTCTAGAGTACTGCAAATGACTCCAAGATCTCTTTCTTGATGGCTAACAGCTAATTTAGGCACCATCATTATGTATGTAAAGTTGGGATTATATTTTGTCATGTGAGTTACTTTGCATTTAACATTGAATTTCATCTGTCATTGTGTTGCCAAGTCACTAAGTGTTGTAAGATCCTTTTGTAACTCTTTGTAGTCTGTTTTCGATTTAACTATCTTGAGTAATTTTGTATCATCTACAAACTTTGCTACCTCACTAAAACAACAAGGAGTCTGGTGGCACCTTAAAGACTAACAGATTTATTTGGGCATAAGCTTTCGTGAGTAAAAACCTCACTTCTTCGGATGCATAGAGAAGTGAGGGTTTAAATCACGCAAGCTTATGCCCCAATAA